ATTCGGGGAAGTTCGTGGTGATTCTTGAGCTCATGAACCTTGGTTCACAAACCATGAACCACCTGAAAATTCATCACGAACATATGTTTGTGAGCTAGTTTGTGCCCATCCCTATATATATGATGGTGTCTATAGGGCTCTTTTTGTCAAGCTCAGTTCTCTTCAGCTGAAGAAAAGACGCTGTGTTCTGGTGTGTGCCAGCTGTTCCCTTTCTCTTTCCGAAGGATGGAACCACACCGAGCAAAGAACACAAGGCTGCCACCAAAAATGGCAGCCTCGTGCCAGATGTCTAATTCCAGTTGCTCTCTGCTTTACCATCCCTACAACTGGAGTTTCCCCATCAAGCTTTGCATCATTGTCTGTCAGGGGTGGGAAAATGAACCTCAAGGGACGGGGTAAGTAGAATTAGGCCTGACAGAGGGGGAGGGGAGAACCTGACCCCCAAGACCGCCATGTTTGGCAGCAGCCCTCTGTCTTTTTAATAGCATTCCACCTTAACTTCTCCCCAAATCCTCAAAAGATGGTTCCACGAAAACACCCTTGCGAGTTTCTTACTAGGTTGCCTACTTGTACATCGTCATTTCGGGCTTCTCAATGGGCTGAAGGGTTGAAGGAGGGAAAAAACTGGATATCTCTTTCAATTCATAAATGCTTCTTTGTCTGGTTGAGGTGACGAGTTATTTGCACAGGGTCCCACGCACCCCCCCCCCCCCCGTCGTACGAGTCCTGTGTAATTCCATCTGCAATGTGTTACATGTGTGCTTAATTGATTTGGGGGATCTATGTATGAGCAAGACAGCTGCGGTTGTTGGAAGACAAAATACTTTTTTTAAAAAAAAAGATCTAAAAGCAAAGCACACAGATCTCATTGTGTTCTAAAGCTTTGCAAAGGATCGTGGGCTATGCTTGTCTGGTTGAATAATTCAGCCGCTTACAGGAATGTTCCGGGGTGGAGGAGGGAGGATCGGTGGGAAATATAATAAATACTTCAGTGCTGTCAAATTGCAAAGCACCTCTGGCAACTGCTCATGGGGTTTTGCAGACAAGAAAGGAGCAGAGATTGTCTGCCTCTGTGTATTGGCCCTGGGCTTCCTTGGTGGTCTCTCATTCAAGTATTAAGAACATAAGAGAAGCCAATGTTGGATCAGGCCAATGGCCCACCTAGTCCAACACTCTGTCACACAGTGGCCAAAAATACCAGGTGCCATCAGGAGGTCCAGCAGTGGGGCCAGGACACCAGAAGCCCTCCCACTGTTGCCCCCCCCCCCAAGCACCAAGAAGACAGAGCATCCCTTGCCCCAGACCGAGACTTCCTATCTATATCTTGTGGCTAATAGCCGCTGATGGACCTCTGCTCCAGATGTTTATCCAATTCCCTCTTGAAGCTGTCTGTGCTTGTAGCCGCCGCCACCTCCTGTGGCAGCGAATTCCACGTGTTAATCACTCTTTTCCTTTTATCTGTTCTAACCCGACTGCTCAGCAATTTTATTGAGTGCCCAGGAGTTCTTGTATTGTGAGAAAGGGAGAAAGGGACTTCTTTCTCTACCTGCTCTATCCCACGCATAACCTTATGAACCTCAATCATGTCACTCCTCACCCGCCATTTCTCCAAGCTAGACCCCCAAGAGTTTTAACCTCTCTTCATAGGGAAAGTGTTCCAACCCTTTTATCATTCTAGTTGTCGACCCTGCTTAGCTTCTGAGCTTGGTCTAGTCTGGGACATTCAGGAAGCAAATGCAAAACATAGTCCTGTTCCTATTAATGGGCTCTGAGATTTTCAGGGTCACTGCAACCCCCTCAGTCATCAAACTTGAATAAAACCTGTCGTATACCAATGATTCCAGTGTAGGCCAAGAGACAGGCTGCAAAGTTCTCCCTCCGGCATCCCGTCGCGGACTGCGTGGATGGCTGGCAGTTAAACTGGAATTCAGCGTATCTGGATCTGGAGGGGAGCAAGAGACGGCAGTGAGGAGTTAGCCGCTGTTTCCATCTGCTGCGGAAATAAGCCAGCAGATCCCAGCAGGGGCTCCAGAGCAGTGTTCCCTCTAAGCTGAGTCAGTGTGAGCTAGCTCAGTTTTTTAGCCTCCGGCTCACACCTTTTTGTCTCCGCTCAAGAAGGGAGGGCTCCGGAGCAAACTGATTCATGCAGGAGCCAACTCGCTCCCTCACAACTTGAATGCCGGTAGCTCGCAAAGTAGAATTTCTGCTCACAAAACCCCACAGCTTAGAGGGAGCATTGCTCATGAGCTGAATAAGGTGAATCTCGTTGTGCAAAAGGGAGGTCCTGGGTAATGCAAAGCAGGGTTGCCAGCTCTGGGTTGGAAAATTCCTGGAGATTTGGGGGGTGGGGTTTGGGAGGGTAACTGCATGTCACTCAAAGGTTCTCAGACTCAATTAGAATGTTAACCTTTGACAGTCCTTCACAACAACTTATATGAATAGGCAGGGCTTTTTTTCTGGGGGAACATGGCAGAATGGAGTTCCAGAACCTCTGACAAAATTATTTTAAAAATGTGTAAAAGTTCATAAGTTTTCAGTATACAGATTGAAAACTTCATTTCCCTCTTGAGAGTTTTGGCCCCATTTTCCAAAAAAAAAAAAAAAGTGCCCTTTGAATAGGGTAATAGGTACACAATATGCAGGTACACAAATTAGATGCTAGCTATCTGCAGAGCTACTAGCCTACGTGCAACCTTGGAACATCTGTATACATACTTCTATCAACCTACCCCAATCAGAGTTCTCAGATACATGTACATAGATGTTTAAACATGGGTATATATGCTGTGAACAAAGTTCCCTCTAATTTCCCCCCCTATTGAGTGAAGCAGTTCACATCCTGAGCAGAATGTAGCTGTTGTAATCTTAAAATATAGCTATATTTTTGTATTTAATGTCTTATATGGAATATTGGAAATAATTAATACATTATAATAACACCTTCAGTATATATAATCACTTTTAACTTTTGCCTTTATTGTAATAGCACTGTTTGGTGTAATGGTTAGAGTGTGGGAAAACTGGGTTTGATTCCCCACTCCTCCATATGCAGCTGCTATTGTGACCTCGGGAGAGCTCTCTCAGCCCCACCTACCTCACAGGGTGTCTGTTATCCGGAGAGGAAGGGAAAGGGGATTGTAAACCCCTCTGAGACTCCTTTGGGTAGTGAAGGGCAGGGTATAAATCCCATCTATTCTTCTTCTTCTTCTTTTACCTCACTGGGTGTCTGTTGTGGGGAGGGGAAGGGAAAGGAGTTTGTAAGCGCTTCACTACCCGAAGGAGTCTCTGAGCGGCTCACAAACGCCTTTCCCTTCCCCTCCCGACAACAGACACCCTCCCTGTGAGGTCGGTGGGGCTGAGAGAGCTCTGAGAGAAGCTGCTCTTTTTCAAGAACAGCTCTTGTCAGAACTACGGCTTGCCCAAGGTCATCCAGCCGGGTGCAAGTGGAGGAGTGGGGAATCGAACCCGGTTCTCCCAGATTAGAGTCAGTTTGGTGAACCACGACACCAAACTGGCTCTCAGCTGATAAATCAGCATGGGGAGGTTGCAGGCCGGGCTGGCTGTCCATCCCAGGCATCAGCAGAGAGTGTAAAAATAAATTGTTCCTTTGTCCTTCCTTTTGCCAAAGAAGAAAAACGGCTTTTTGACTGCAACGCCCTTGGCCCTGAGTGGGCTTATCAATCCACCACGGACAATCTGCCAGTGGGCTCTCCTGTCCTTGCAAACACGGTGGTGGGGAACAGAGGAAAGCACAGGGGGTGCGAGAGGGAGAGGTGAAGAGGGGGGGGGCTGCTGCAGCCATCTTGGCCACAGTTACCCCCCCCCTCTCCCTGATATTGCCATTTCCTGTGCAGTTGTTTACGGACACCAGTGGCACCCGGATCAGTCCTGTCAGGTGGTAACGGGATGTCTCTGCTGGCAGATTTTGGAAGTCCGAGGTTTCCCAGTTTGGTGTCGTGGTTAAGTGTGCGGACTCTAATCTGGGAGAACCGGGTTTGATTCCCCACTCCTCCACTTGCACCTGGCTGGATGACCTTGGGCAAGCCGTAGTTCTGTCAGAGCTGTCCTTGAAAAAGAGCAGTTTCTGTCAGAGCTCTCTCAGCCCCACCTACCTCACAGGGTGTCTGTTGTGGGGAGAGGAAGGGAAAGGAGTTTGTGAGCCGCTCTGAGACACCTTCGGGTAGTGAAGGGCGGCTTACATAAAAGTGAATGCATAAATACAGTTGGAATTATCATAAAATCATCTAAAAACAATTCCATTATAAAACATTTCAATATCGTGAAGTGCTAGCAGTATCTTTTAATTGCTTAGTTGAGGAGGAGAAGGAGGAGAAGGAGTTGAATGTATACCTCACCCTTCGCTCGAAGTCTCAGAGCGGCTCACAAACTCCTTTCCCTTCCTCTCCCCACAACAGACACCCTGTGAGGTAGGTGGAGCTGAGAGAGCTCTTTCCGGAACAGCTCTGAGAGAACTGTGGCTTGCCCAAGGTCATCCAGCAGCTGCATGTGGTGGAGTGGGGCTGGAAGGGAATCCCAAGGGTCATCTCGGCCACCCCTCCTGTACAGCGCAGAAAATCCACAGCTCACCTGCCCAGAAATGGCTGCTTTGGAGGCTGAATTCTATGGTATTAGAGGCCCCTCCCCAAACTCCACCCCCAAATCCCCAGGGATTTCCCAACCGGAGTTGGCAGCCCTGCCAGAAGCAGTAAATGCCTCCTCTCTCCGCCTCCCCCTGGGTGTCTTCATAAGCAAGTTCTCAATTGGGTTCCGAAACTCCTGTAAGAAGCGAGAGTTTGGGAAGCCCTATCGGTAGGTTTGCCAGCCTCCAGGTGGGGCCTAGAGAACTCCTGGGATTACAGCTGATGAAGAAGAAGAAGAAGAAGAAGAAGAAGAGGAGGAGGAGGAGGAGGAGGAGGAAGTCTCAGAGCGGCTTACAAACTCCTTTCCCTTCCCCTCCCCACAACAGACACCCTGTGAGGTAGGTGGGGCTGAGAGAGCTCTTGACAGAAACTGCTCTTTTTTCAAGAACAGCTCTTGTCAGCTCTTGTCAGAACTAGGGCTTGCCCAAGGTCATCCAGCCAGGAGTGGGGAATCAAACCCGGTTCTCCCAGATTAGAGTCCGCACACACAACCACGACACCAAGCAGCAGAGTTAATTTCCCTCGGTGAAAATGGCTGCTTCAGAGGGTGAGCTGTATGGCTTTATTCCTTGCTAAGGTTGCTCCTTCCACAATAGGGTCACCAGTCTCCAGGTGGTGGCCAGAGATTTCCTGGAATTACAACTGGTCTCCGGGGTATACAGATCAGTCCCCCTGGAGAAAATGGCTGCTTTAGACGGTGGGCTCTATAGTATTAGACCCCACTGAGGTCCCTCCCTGACTGAAATCTTGACCTTCCCAGGCTTCAACCCTAAAATCTCCAGGAATTTCCCGATCTAGACTTGGCAGTTCTACTCCTGAAGCCTCTCCACCACAAAATGTTCAGGAATTTCCCAGCCCAACGTAGGCCGACCTACCCAGCATTCAGTTCAGTGGTTTATCGGAACCTCTAAATGCAGTCGCTCTTTCATAAGAACATAAGAGAGAAGCCAGTGTTGGATCAGGCCAAAGGCCCTTCCAGTCCAACACTCTGTGTCACACAGTGGCCAGAAATACCAGTGCCATCAGGAGGTCCAGCAGTGGGGCCAGGACACTAGAAGCCCTCCCACTGTTGACACCCCCCCCCCAAGCACCAAGAAGACAGAGCATCCCTTGCCCCAGAGCCCCTATCTATACCTTGTGGCTAAGAGCCACTGATGGACCTCTGCTCCAGATGTTTATCCAATTCCCTTTTGAAGCCGTCCATGCTTGTAGCCGCCACCACTTCCTGTGGCAGTGAGTTCCATGTGTTAATCACTCTTTGGGTGAAGAAGGACTTTCTTTTATCCATTTTAACCCAACTGCTCAGCAATTTCATGGAGTGCCCACAAGTTCTCGTATTGTGAGAAAGGGAGAAAAGTACCTCTTTCTCTACCTGCTCTTTCCCATGCATAATCTTCCAGTCCTCCGAAATTGAAAAAAAATGTGCACTACCTGCAAATAGGGTTGCCAACAAGACGTGGGGGCTGAAGACCCCCCAGAATTACAGCTGAGCTCCAGATGACAGAGTTCAGCTTCCCTGGAGAAAGTATGCAAACCACCAAAAACAAACGCTGTATAAATAAAGTATCAGACTACAATGGATGCACAGCGTATGCAAGTATGCAAGCCACCCAAAAAATACTGTACAAATAAAGGGTCAGACCACAAATGGTGTCTTTAAAATGAATTCGTATTTTCTTCTCCAGTCCTTTTTCACAGAAGTTACTAACCGCTCCCTTTTTGTCTCTACTTTGTGAGCCGCTGGCATTAAGGTTGTGAGCGGGCGACTTGGCTGCTGCATCAATTAGTTTGCTCTGAAGCCCCTCCTTCCTGAGCCGAGACAAAAATGTGTGAGCCGGAGGCTAAAAAACTGTGAGCTAGCTCACACTAACTCAGCTAAGAGGGAACATTGGTCACAAATGAAGTGGCTATGGATTGCCTAGTTTGCCCCTCCGTTTCCTCTGACTTCTTTAGGCTGCTCTCTCATCAATGGTAGAGCCCCCAAAGCTCTAGAAGTTAAGTCTGACTTGGCATCAGTTTACTCTGACTGGGCCCAGCAAGGGAGCTGAATTGAAGCAAGATATTCTGCCACGTCAGAGTTAACGTTTAGGGCTTTGGGGGCTCCACCATTGAGACAGCGGCCTGAAGAAGTCAGAGGAAACGGACAGCGACCTAGGCGATCCACAGTCACTTCATTTGTGACTCCGTTTAGAGACAAACAGGGAGTGGTTAGTAACTTCTGCGAAAAAGGACTGCGAAAGAAAATACAGATTCATTTTAAGGAAACAGTTTGTTGTCTGATACTTTATTTGTACAGGGTTTTTTTTGGGGGGGTGGTTTGCATACTCGAATACACTGTGACCGATTTCACACAAGAGCTGCGCCGCGGTCACGCCTCCCTTTGCCCCGCTTCTATTGGTCAAATTTCCCACTCGAAGCCGCGAGGCCGCATTTTGACCTGCGGCTTCGCCTGATTTCCTCCGCGGTTTCCTGATCCTGGTTTTTAAGGATCATCAGGGCTATTTTTGGGCAGGAACGGAGTTCCAGCTGGCTTCCAAGTTGGCCACACCCAGCAGGAACTCATTAGCATAATAAGCCACACCCAACAGCAGAGACTCATTAGGATTGGCTACATTAGGGGTGTGTGGCCTAACATGCAAAGGAGTTCCTTCTATTAAAAAAGCCCTGGGTTTCGACAACAAACAAGGTAAACAGAAGAAGAAGGGAAAGGTGGGTGTGGCTGGATAACCACACTTCTGGTAACATGGGGGTGCGGCCTAATGTGCTAATGAGCTGTGCTGTCAGGGGTGTGGCCCAATATGCTAATGAGTTCCTGCTGTTGGGTGTGGCCTATTTTGCTAATGAGTTCCTGCTGGGCTTTTTCTACAAAAAAAGCCCTGAGGATCATGAAACCGTGGGGAAAATTGGGCGAAGCCGTGGGTCAAAATGTAGCTGCGCGGCTTCGAGTGGGAAATTGACCAATAGAAGTGGGGCAAAGGGAGGCGCGACTGCAGCGCAGCTCTTGTGTGAAATCGGTCACAGTGTATTCGAGTATGCAAACCACCCCCCCAAAAAAAACCCTGTACAAATAAAGTATCAGACAACAAACTGTTTCCTTAAAATGAATCTGTATTTTCTTTCGCAGTCCTTTTTCGCAGAAGTTACTAACCACTCCCTGTTTGTCTCTAAACGGAGTCACAAATGAAGTGACTGTGGATCGCCTAGGTCGCTGTCCGTTTCCTCTGACTTCTTCAGGCCGCTGTCTCAATGGTGGAGCCCCCAAAGCCCTAAACGTTAACTCTGACGTGGCAGAATATCTTGCTTCAATTCAGCTCCCTTGCTGGGCCCAGTCAGAGTAAACTGATGCCAAGTCAGACTTAACTTCTAGAGCTTTGGGGGCTCTACCATTGATGAGAGAGCAGCCTGAAGAAGTCAGAGGAAACGGAGGGGCAAACTAGGCAATCCATAGCCACTTCATTTGTGACCAATATTCCCTCTTAGCTGAGTTAGTGTGAGCTAGCTCACAGTTTTTTAGCCTCCGGCTCACACATTTTCGTCTCAGCTCGGGAAGGAGGGCTCCAGAGCAAACGAACTGATGCAGCAGCCAAGTCGCCCACTCACAACTTTAATGCCAGCGGGTCACAAAGTAGAGTTTTTGCTCACAAGTAGAATTTTTGCTTCACCGCTTAGAGGGAGCATTGTTTGTGACTGTGTTTAGAGACAAAAAGGGAGCGGTTAGTAACTTCTGTGAAAAAGGACTGGAGAAGAAAATACGAATTCATTTTAAAGACACCATTTGTGGTCTGACCCTTTATTTGTACAGTATTTTTTGGGTGGCTTGCATACTTGCATACGCTGTGCATCCATTGTAGTCTGATACTTTATTTATACAGCGTTTGTTTTTGGTGGTTTGCATACTTTCTCCAGGGAAGCTGAACTCTGTCATCTGGAGCTCAGCTGTAATTCTGGGGGGTCTTCAGCCCCCACGTCTTGTTGGCAACCCTATTTGCAGGTAGTGCACATTTTTTTTCAATTTCGGAGGACTGGAAGATTATGCATGGGAAAGAGCAGGTAGAGAAAGAGGTACTTTTCTCCCTTTCTCACAATACAAGAACTTGTGGGCACTCCATGAAATTGCTGAGCAGTTGGGTTAAAATGGATAAAAGAAAGTCCTTCTTCACCCAAAGAGTGATTAACACATGGAACTCACTGCCACAGGAAGTGGTGGCGGCTACAAGCATGGGCGGCTTCAAAAGGGAATTGGATAAACATCTGGAGCAGAGGTCCATCAGTGGCTATTAGCCACAAGGTATAGATAGGGGCTCTGGGGCAAGGGATGCTCTGTATTCTTGGTGCGGGAGGTCTTCACTACCCGAAGGAATCTCAGAGTGGCTTACAATAGTCTTCCCTTCCTCTCCCCACACCCTGTGAGGTACGTGGGGCTGAGAGAGCTCTGAGACAGCCGTGACTGACCCAAGGTCACCCAGCAGGCTTTATGTGGAAGAGCGCGAAATCAAACCTGGTTCTCCAGATTACAGGCCGCCACTCTTAACCACTACATCAAACTGGCTCTCCGGTATGCAGCATTTACCCCCAGTTTCACCGCTGGCTCACTAGAAAATTTGGTGTAGTGGTTAGAGGTGCGGACTCTAACCTGGGGGAACCGGGTTTGATTCCCCACACCTCCACTTGCAGCTGCTGGTGTGACCTTGGGCAAGCCATAGTTCTCTCAGAGCTGTTCTCTCAAGGGCAGTTCTCGAGAGAGCTCTCTCAGCCTCACCTACCTCACAGGGTGTCTGTTGTAGGGAGAGGAGGGGAAGGAGATTGTAAGCCGCTCTGAGACTCCTTCGGGTAGTGAAGGGTGGTGTAGAAGTCCAGTCTCCTCCCCCTCCTCCTCCTCCTCCTCCTTCTTCTTCCTCTTCTTCTTCTATCTTTGTGGCCCCTTGAGTTGAAATGACTGTCTGACAGTAGCACAGGGTCTGGTGGGGTGTCAGGCATCTCGGTTAGGAGAGACTCGGGCCGATGGATGAAAAGGATTCCTGACAGGAGCGCAGGGTGGGTGAGAGAGCCAAGAGAGACAGCAGAAATGCTCGCGCGCAAAGCCCGTACCTGCAGTGATGGAAGCCAGCCGGACGTAGTCAAAGCCTCTCACGAAGGGTTCGTAAGGGGAGCTCTCCATCACATTCATACCTGCAGAAAGCAGAGACATCGCTGGGGAAAAAGGCGGTTCCTCAGTCAATATATGGATGGCATGGGATGTGGCTTGGGTTGCTAACCTCCAGGTGGGAACTGGAGACCTCCCAGAGTTACAACTGGTCTTCTGACAACAGAGTGGTGGTGGAACTGAACCTAGAAACCTGGGATCCAGAACCTGAAAAGGTTAGTCAAATAGAAAAGAGGGCCAACGATAAAAGCTTAATATATGTATAGTATATAAAAAGATACATGTATTGATTAACAAAGAATTTTAAAATATATAAGGGCCCAATCACACCTCATGTAAAAATACCAGAATCTCACACACAAGGGCGAATGGACTTGACCTGACGTGTTTCGGCCTGCATAGGCCTTCTTCAGAGGTCAAACACAGGCCTCCAAAGATTCGATCACATGCCAAGTTGTGCTCTTTGCCTAAGGACAATTCTACTGAGGACACTTTGGCTAAACAATCATAGGAAGGCACTTTCTGGACCAGAAATTATTACCAGTGAAACACTACTTGGCATGTGATTGCGTCTGTGGAGGCCTCATTTGTACTTTTATTCTGTGCCTAGCGGTTTCATTTTGGAACAATTTTCTTCTGGTCCCTTCTTGTATTTATATTTTATATCTGTATGATTGTACTGTACTATTATATAAGCCCATGTGTTCCTCACTGTGTTTGACCTCTGAGGAAGGCCTATGCAGGCCGAAACGTGTCAGGTCCAGTGTTCCCTCTAAGCTGAGTTAGTGTGAGCTGGCTCACAGTTTTTTAGCCTCTGGCTCACACATTTTTGCCTTAGCTCAGGAAGGGAGGGCTCCAGAATCTGTCCTTATATATAATTGAATAGTGGGTGCCAAGGTTCTAATTCTAAAATGCACTCCCTTAGTGTATGGCTGATGGCACTGCTCCTCAGCATATATCGCCACCAATCAGAAGGCAAAGCCCGGGTCCCGCCCACACCACAACTGCTGCGACAACCTGGTCTTTTGCATATGGAAGCTGATTGGACTTCAGTCCATTCCACACCTCAAACTCCCCCCCCCCGCAAGGCAGTTGGGATTTTCAGTTGCATAACATACCTCATAGGGGAGAGGAGAATGGGTAACAATGGTTACCACTCTCCAGGTGAGGGCTACAGATAACTCAAACATACAAATGCTCTTCAGGTAGCAGAGATCAGTCCCTCTGGAGAAAACAGTGGACTCTGTCATTAAACCCTGCTGAGGTCGCCACAGGAAACTGACACTGTTTGCCCAAAGCCAGAGCACTCTCCCAGAGCCTCTTTCTAGATCTCGTTGTATTTATTTCCGCAAAGGGCATTATTTCTAGTATATATATATATCAAGCTTTTATTGTTGGCCCTCTTTTCTATTTGACTAACCTTTTCAGATTCTGGACTCCAGACAACAGAGACCTGGTCCCCTGGAGAAAATGGCTGCTTCGGAGGCGGGACCCCACGATGTCAGTACCCTCCCCTCCTCGAACTCTGACCTCTCCAGGCTCCACCCACAAACCTCCAGGAATCCCCTGCCTAGATTTGGCAATGCTAGGTGTGAACAAGGTCACAGGAGGAAGAGAACCGGGTGTGTTTTTCACAGGCCAGTTTATCAACCCTTCCTGTTTTTGTTTTTGGAGCTGCGGTGGCTCAAGTGGTTAAGATGCTGAACTGCAGGCTGTGGAAGGTCGGTAGTTCAGCAGTTCGAGACCCAAGTGTTCTGCATGACGGAGTGAGCTCCCGTCTCTAGTCCCAGCTCCTGCCAACCTAGCAGTTTGAAAGCAAGGAATTGCAAGTAGATAAATAGGTACCACTTCAGTGGGAAGGGAACAGCGTTCCGTGCGCCTTGGTGTTTAGTCATGCCGGCCATGTGACCACGGAAACGTCTTCGGACAGCGCTGGCTCTTCGGCTTTGAAACGGAGATGAGCACCGCAACCCTAGAGTCGGATTCGACTGGCTTTTGAGCAAGGGAACCTTTACCTTTACCTTTTACCTTTTTTTTGTATTATAGCCTTCTATAGCATTCAGTACTTTCTCTCTCGCCAGTCAGGGAGAGAGAGAACTATTTTCAACAATAAGTGATTTACCATCCACTGTTTTTGGGGAAAAACAGTAAAAAAAAAACACACCAAAAAGGGCAGTGTATAAAACTCTGGGAGGGAGGGGGGAAATCTATAATTGGTCAAATAAACGCATATTGTTATGGTATGCCCGCCTTGGTTGCGGGGGGGGGATGGGACGGACTTATATTGAAGCCGCCGAGAAACTCCACACAGTTGTAAATCAACATGTTTTTAATGGTTATATCAACAAATCACGGTTCGGCTTTCTTTGGAAAATAATAGAGGGACCCAAGGGAAAATTGATTAAAATCGATGATTGTAAATGGAGGCTTTCTGCTTGATGGTCTAAATAATGACTGTAAGGGGGGGGGGCGGTTTGGATCAATCCTGCCCGCCTGAGGTTGTCTATTGATTCAGGGCTTCTGTTTGTCTCTCATCCCCACCCCCACTGTTTCTCTACCAGTTTAGTTCTTTCCCCCTTTCCTATTGGAGCGTTGGGGGGCTCAAAATATGACGGCAGCGAAGGGGGATTCTCACCCCAAAGGGCGTCTACTTCGAGATCTCCTTAGATTGCCACTGTTAAAAACGCGACTCCATTCTTGATGACAAAATGGGCAACAACTTCCCGAAAGCAACAACTTCCCCCTGACTCCGAGTTGGAGTGAGGGGCTCAACATGCCTGGACATTTGGGGGGGGGGATCCAGTTTGGTGTAGCGGTCAAGAGCGGCGGACTCTAATCTGGAGAACCGGGTTTCGATCCCCCACTTCTCCATGTGCAGCCAGCTGGGTGACCTTGGGTCAGTCACAAGTTCTCTCGGAGCTGTTCTCTCAAGAACAGTTCTCTCCGAGCTCTCTCAGCCCCACCCGCCTCACAGGGTGTCTGTTGTGGGGAGAGGAAGGCGATTGTAAGCTGCTCCGAGACTCCGTGTGAAGGGCGGGGGTACAAATCCATTCTCTTCTCTCTCTTCTCTTCTTCTACATCACTCTAAGCATGTATAGGTGTTATCTCCTTGAATGGGATGCTGCTCTTTGTCTTAACCTGGGAGCTGCCCTCTGACCCCCTCCTCTCTCTCTATGTCCCCTCCCTCTCTGCACATGGCCTTCCACGGAGACGCACGTCTCTGCAGGTCTCTCCTGTAGAGACAATGTCCTCATATTCCTACACACATGATGCTGGCAAGCTGGCCATTTGTGACAGGGAAAGTATTATAGATTCGGCGTCTTTCTTTCCTTTCGACTGCAACCTGAATGTGAACTGGATCTCCTTGAAGAAATGTAAGTTTACCTTTTCTGCAATATCCTTCTTGGCAGGGGTCATTTCGTAGCAAAAGAGGTGCAGGACCTCATTAGCACAACTCATTAGCATAAAAACAAGATAGATTAATAAGAAATGCTAAAATCCAACCTATAGAACTTGCACTTCAACTGAACATGAATCAAATATGTGAATATCTCATAAAAAACCAGTAGGCCAGATGCATTTCGGCCATCACTCAACAAGCTTTCATTAGGTATGTCCAGCTTGAAAAACTTGTATTTTCCAGATCCAAATATCGGGGAGCTGAAAAAACATTGGTTTCCCCGGTTTTCTGTGCCCCCCCAAGATTCTGATATTATTTGGCCCCATTATTTCCTTCGGCAAATTTTTCTAGAGGGCTGGAGTGTTTGTTTTTTTAGCCAATTGCACTAAAAATGCAGTGGAGCTGCTGGTGCCTGTCTCCTAAATAACCCCCAAATATGGGCACCTGTAGGTTTTGTATTTACTCAGGGGTCATTTCCTGCAGGAGTGCACAGGAGCGGAGCTCCGGCAGTAAAGAGCCCAGGGGGCGGGCACATGCAACAAGCCCCGCCCCCTGTTCCTTAGCAGCCCCGGGCCACGAGGAGCATAAGGATCTGTGTGTCTGTCCCCCCCAGTAGCTAGCAATCCCAAACAGTCCAGTGGAGCCTGAGCGGTGGGTGTTGCCTTCTGACACACTTCCGGTGATGTCAGGGGGTGTGTCATGCAAATCAGTTGTGCTAATGGGTTATGCTAATGAGCTCCTGCACCTCTTTTTCTAGGAAATGACCCCTGATCCTTCTTAAACCGTGGTGCCCAAAACTGAACACAATACTCTAGGTGAGGTCTAACCATAGCAGAGTAAAGCTTGCTACCTGATCCTTTTGACTGGAGATGCCGGGGATTGAACCTGGGCAGTGTTCCCTCTAAGCTGAGTTAGTGTGAGCTAGCTCACCATTTCTTAACCTTCTGCTCACACATTTTTGTCTTCGTTCAGGAAGGATGGCTCCAGAGCCAACTGATTTCTGCAGTAGTCAGATTGCCTGCTCACAACTTTAATGCCAGTAGCTCACAAAGTAGAATTTTTGCTCACAAGACTCCACAGCTTAGAGGGAACATTGAACCTGGGACCTTTTGCATGCCAAACAGAGGCTCTTCCACTGTGACACAGGAAGTGTGGCTCACCTGAGCTGTGGTTGGCCACTGAACCTCCTGACCATCTTTTAAAGGCTCCTGCCTCTTCCCCCCCATCTTCCCTCCCCCCAATTGGCTTTATTAGGCCGTGTGCGCTTGCAACAAAGCCCTTTGTTTGCCGATACCTCCCCCCACCTATCTCATCTCTTTCTCATTGTTGGGTGCCCTTTTGTAGCGGAGCCCGGCGATAATGACATCCAGACCTGGCAGGAACTTCTCTGCAGAAGACGTCGAGCTAATTATATTCCATCACTTGTTCCCCTTTCATCTGCTCCGAGGACCGTAGAATGCTCCAGTGGGCCGACTCATCTCGCCTGGTATTATCGAGGCAAATAGTTTTGTAAATGTTAAAATAACCTAAACAAAGCCTCCCTCCTGAGGAGGATGAAACATTTATCTGGAGCAGCGTATGGGCTAGCGTTGCGGCAAAGTCCCCCCTGACCTCCGGTGGGGGACG